AATTAGTCGGCCAGGTTGCTGTCCTCCAAATTTCCTGGCATAGACTGGTGAGCACAGCCAGGGTTGCATCTGTCATACGAAACACGTCAATTGGTATCCCATCAATTCCTGAGGCCTTAATTGTTTGCTGATGCCTTCGGTGAAGCTTGCATTTCTTTCCCTTCCTTACCATTGGCTCTTGATCGTATGGCATTTCTGAAATATTCAGTATTGTCCAATTTTTTTAAAAAAAATATATTGACTCTGTGTATTCCATCTTCTTTTGATGTTTCTCGTATCATCCAAGGTTTCCCCCATAGCATCCCTAAGTATTGCAACTTGAGGCTTGAATTTTTTATTTTTTTTTAGCTTGAAAAATACGGAATGGGTTCTTCCCTTTTCATTCTCCAATTCTAGGTCTCTGCTCATACTGGAATAGTTTGCCTTTTCTTCCCAAGCTGCCTTTTGAAATTTTTTTTTTGTCCAGCTCTTTTATTTTAACATCTTTTCCTGTTATTTTGGCTTCTTGACACTGTGGTGTAATTTTCAGTCTTTTTGGACATTCTTTTCTTTTTTTTTTCCTCCCATGTCTTTTTAGTGACTTTTTCTCTCTTCATATATATTGTTCTTAATGTCCTCTCACCACTTATTGGCCTTCAATCACTAGCATTCAATGCTTCAAACCTATTCTTAAGAGAATGTTTAAATTCAGGTGGAATAGACTAAAGATAATATTTGGGTTCTTGTGCACTTATTTTAATTTAGGAGAGAGAGTTCTGTCGGGTTGAAACTGACCCATAGCTGAACCTCTGAAGAGTTTTCAGAGGCTGTTAATAGCATGGGTGGAGATCGCCCATCCTTCTCCTGCTGGTGACCTTGAACTGAGTACCTTTGGGATTGCATTGCAGCTTCTTGCCACCAGGCCACCAGTGCTGTATCTTTATGGAAGGGTAGCCCTTTATGATTAAGGCTCTATGAATCAAGCCTGAGATTTCGTTTCCCTGGAAAGGGGCAGCTTTAGAAGCCCAGCCTATTTCTGCAGGCCTCTCTACAAGCTGAGGACTCTCAGGGTCTCTGGACCATCTGTACTAATTTGCCCAATAGCCTTTGGATTCTAATTTTGTTTCTGGTTCCTAGAGATTTCAAAGTCATTAATTTCACTATTTACTTTTATTGTTATTTTACTTTTGTTATTATTTTCCCCTCTGCCCCCACCCCTTTAAAGCTAAAGTGTATTTTTGTCATCTTTTATCTAACGTGTGAAGTACTTATCTCTGTCTGTGTGTGTGGTGGACATAGCTCGTGTGCAGCACCTCAGCCTGCCATGTTTCCAGAAGCCATGCTGCACTCCATCCAACCTTGTTTCCATGTCAGAACAGACCTAAAATAGTTTCCTATATTTTTGAATCTTAGTACCTTAGCAGATCAACTGTGAGGCTGTGGATACTGAGGTAGAAGACCTCAAGTTGGGTATTAGTTTTGCCACTTTCTAGCTGTGCAATCCTGAGTACGTCACTAAACACTTCTGAGCCTGTTTCTTCATCTATAAACATGTATCTTCATTGATAAATCTACATCATAAAGTTGTGAATGAAGAGTAAACAAAATAGTAAAATAAGCATGTTCTGTAAAATTTAAGAGTTCTGAGAAAATGGAAATTATCTACTACTGTTGGTGACACCTGAAATATACATACTCTTTTGAGAACACAGCTCTTATTGTGCTACAAAGAATCTGAAGATCAGCCCAAAGAGATGAAGTTCCCTGTAGTCTTGTGGAAAGCGCCCTGGGCCAGATGTGGGGACATTTGGCTCTAGTTCCAGTTTTGTCATTAATGCATGCTGTGATCTTGGAAAGTTCAGTTTTTACTGGTAGTTTTTCCATTACTGACTTTGAAACTACGTGTATCTGAGCTGTGGGGACTGGGGTATGTGGCAGGACTGTAACCCCCTCTATTCTCATTTCCTCCAGCCCTGTTTGAACTAAACAAGTTCTTTTTCTATCCTACTCTACCACTTTCTAAAGAATTCTAGGGACATACTTCATTTTTCCTTTGCCTCACACAGTTTCCTCTCTTCTAAAAAGTGCATAAGAATAGAATAATTATGTAGTTGAAATGAGGAGATAACGATAAGATAATTAGAAGCCCTTCAAAAGCATTAGTGGTTCTCAGGTTAAAAAGCAAACAAAACACACTTTAGAAATGAAAAGCATCTTAAAGATTATTCAGGTTGATACCAGAGCTACGTTTTTTTTT